TTTGTTGTTGACGACGATCCTGATTCAGTTTAGATCCGGGTGCGTCACGCGTTGTCCGCAAGGGTTCCCGGGTGGTCGATTATCGATACTCGGTCGTACCAGCACATCCCATTCTCCTTCTTATACACACTCTCTTGCTACCGTTGATGGTGATCATCATAGTTAGAGAACTACTCGTTGGATATCCAGCAGTATACATTTATCTGAATGACCGACATGCAAAAGACAGAGATTCGAGGAACGTCCTGTTCCCCATCTACTTCATTACAATACCATCATTACCATACTAGTCCTATAAACACCGCGATAATGATAAGGAACGCGGGGGCTTCGGATTAAATGAGCAATCGATTCGCCCTTGCATGTGCACCTCTAGAGGGGCCGGTTACAGTTACACTCTGGAGCCATAATTTGCTGCGTTTGTTAGCAATCAACGAACTTGATTTCTGGAGGATGGTTTCGTAATGACGGTGGCGAAAAATCACTGGGCGTCACTGGGCAAAAATAGAACAGTATTTGCTGAGTAAGCCATCTTATCCCAACGTTATACACTATCTAAAACAGTGGGTTCCATGCTTCCACAAGTCTCAATCTGCATCGAACATTCGTAGCCTTCTAGCTCCCCTTCTTTAATAAGAAGATTCAACAAGCCTTGAAACTTCTACGTGTGAGACTCAGACATCCTCATCTGTAATGAATACCTAGGTATCCTGTGCACTGTACCACATCCGGTAGACCTCAGATAAACAAGCCCCTCGACTCCACGTGTTCAAGCCTCAATTTTCGACCTGTCCAAAATCTCAAGCCACCACCAACATCATTTCGCCCGCGCCCGATTATCACTTTCTCCCAAGATAAACATGCTGTAGCTCATTTCGTGATTTCCCAATCGAGTCTTGCCAAACTGGACTTGGCTTCGAGGACTATCGGTAGCCTCCCCACTTGATCTCCCCATGGATCTTCCCATAGATCCTCCGCACTGAACGCTTAACGATTGAAGGTTCGATCTTCGACACTACCCCGTAGTATATGAGGGTCTGACTGGAGAAGAAGACATACAGGGTTGTGTATAGTTAAAGAGTATGATTACGATTCTATTAGATACTATAGAAGTTAATTGGTAGACACTTCCTCATATATATTCACGTTGTATATATATATGATCGGTTTCTCGTCCCGAAACGATCAACCACCATTGTACAACCTTCCTACCAATAAATTATATTCATTGATTTTCGGTCGTGGAACCAAGACCGACGAGCCCATCAACCCAATATATCAATTCCCCATGCGTCCTTCCCCACAAACGACCCATCAAATACCGCACCCAAATGGCTTGCCGAAACTCACTGTGGCCCGAGTTAACTTTATTTATCCAGTATACCTGCATCTGCTACCCCTTACACCGCTTTTCCGCATTGGTCGACCCTCTTCAAGGTTTGTAAAACCCTAAATCGGTGATCCTTTAGCTTCCAAGCTTCAGATTAGGTTGGTGGTCAATGCTAAAACCTGCATGCGCGTGATGAGATAGATACGATGCGTCCGATCACGGGGTACCCTGTGAGAGGTCATTCTAGGGCTGTTGCACAGGACGCTTCTGGAATCTCAAGCCACTGAAATCATGGGATTCTACCTTAGGTACCAAGTACTAGTTCAACATTTGCTTCCAATGGATTCTATGCACGGTGCGGCTCAGCAGTCGTCAAACCCCGTCACTCTTCGTCCCTTGCTGTCATTCCAGTTGGCTGGTGTCATGGTCGGAACTATCAAGGGCAAACCGGTTATTGGATCCCCGGAATCATTCCCTCAGAAAGTCAAAAGGACTACTCCAATGTTGACACTATGTCTCTCTGGTATTGCGCAATGACCGCAGAGCCCCCTGGTTTGTCACATATGTGTGCTCTCTCGAAAGATAGGAATGCATTCCACAGTCGTACCGCTCGAGAACAGTCCCCCTAGATCAATGACGTAGGTTCGCTCTCCTGAGAGATATGGATACATTCCGCAGTAGTACCGAAAGAAGGGTGCTCCCTGACAGTAACTGGGTTATACTGGATATGCCCTATAATGGAGCGCTAGGAGACGGATGTAGCTGCAGTTGGCGTTGACACTTGCTGACAGGTAAAGGCCCATTGCTGAAGGCCAGAACTGATTCAATCAACACGACTAGCCAACGGAAATGCCATTTCACTTCCGTCCCTTGCTCTCGGAGTTCATGTATACCCTTGAAACGCATGTGATTAATCGTGGAGGGTGGTCCTGTTTACTTGAGGGGGGGGGAGCTGCAAGAGATGATTATTGCAACTTCCTAAAACACGGCGGGCAGAGCTTGCAGGTCAATGCAGCTCCGGTGCCATGGCGGAATCGACCCTTGGTATCAGCTGTTTTGTGAAAACCCCAGCAGGAGAAGAACATCTAGTAAAAATACGCGAAGGAAGGCTAGAATTGGGTTGACCCAAAACCTGACCTAACTTGACCTGCGAATAATCTAGTCAAGGTGCACTTGTAAAATGTACGGGCAACTCCGAATCAAGACACGCGCAGTAAGTTGGGAGGTCTGCGGCGCTGTTCTGTATTGCACACCATAATGGGCCCCGTCTCGTGAGAGCGCCGAACACTTCTCACTGACGAAGTAAGGAGGTAGAATGTAGGACACAATTCCTCAAGACAGGTGCCGGCCTGGATGAGACTGTCACTGCTGTTCTAATAAATAGCTGCTTGGCTGTCATCTTCTTTCACCGTCCTCCATCCATGTATCCGCGGCCAGGAGAAAAAAAAGGACTTCCCCGCTCTTCCGGTGACGTACACTGACAACCTTGTCGAATTAGCCTAGAACTAGAGCACACCAAAACAATCCGACGGTTGAAGGCCCATACCTAGAGACTGATGGTATGCGTTGAACGATAATTGCACGACGAGGCTAAGAGCAACAACACTTGCCTGACGCGAGGCAGGGATGATGAGTGGTGGAATTCCACAATCGCCCGTAAGTGCACCATGCTATGGTCGATTCCATCAACCTCTCGGACTCTGCTGACTGAAATAGTCTTCTTTCCTCTGCGTGTCGCCTATTCCTGATGGAGAGAACATAGCATGGGGTAGGTGACGGAAAACCTGTATGTTTCTACTCCTTAGTAAATATAGGCACATGCAAACGGCCCATTCATTCAACCCCACCCTTTCTGGAGATAATGCTGTTCCCCACCTATCTCCGCCCTGTCCGTTATGTCATTGTACGAGGCTGTCAGGGACGATGTCTAGGATTAGGAGCCATGGTGCGGGGAGACCTTCGATCTGTTCTGATGCCGCTCCTGCCACGGAAACCCCGTCGTAGCTCATACCCTTCTATGCATGTGGGTACGTGCCGGGTGTGCCGTTCTTTTGCTTCTCTTCTTTTTCTTTATCTTTGCAAAGATAGATCGATGAAATAATGATAGCGTAGATTATCTATGTCCCCATTGGTGGCTCGGTGGTGTTAATTGTAGTATCAAAATGTTGACATCCTCAAGTGTTGGATCAAATAGCAAGACGTGATTGAGCCTGGCCCGGAGTCATTTTCCATCATCGATACTAGACTGTTCATAAGGTTTGCCTATGATTCAACCCGCCAGTAACGTGAAGACAACGTGGACGAATATGATGTACTCCTCCTCTAAATAAGCGCCCAGGGATCGAGAAGTGACATCAGAGGTACCTCCGTCATTCCTCATACTTCCTCCTACCCGAGGTACCTTGTTTTCGACCGTACAGGTCCCCACTTCCGATACCCTGTACTGGTATGTATCCTGTACTTACGATACCCAAGGCATAACTCCCGACGTCGGGCAGCGGCGGATCTAATCTAAACGTCCCATCATCCCACCGGCTGCAACAACTGAAAATCTGGTCCGGACCTGCGGGGCTCCCTATTTGGACTGGAATTTCCAATCCCATGAACGATCATCCCAATTGCTGCGCTTGTCGATGTGTGTGGTGTGTGTGGACGAGCGAATGATACGGCTTCTACACTGCAAAGGATCGTTGATGTGTAATTAGTATGGGTATCATCCATCTATATGGGCCGCTAACGAACAGTGTGGTGTATCTCTGATCATACCATATGGTCAGAACTCGGAACTCTTGCTCCATCAGAAGGTAGGTAGATACTGTCATTGTCTGATTGCTAGAGTATGTGTTCTTCTGCCCCATCTACAGTGAGCAAAACCCTACCATAAGGTGTCAGGGTGTCTGGTGTCCAGGACCAGATCACCATGTTGTGATCTCTACTGAGCCTATATGATGCCGTATCGGTATTACCGACATCTGATTTGGCTCTTACCCCATTTTTTCTAAACAATTTTCTCCGAGTTCATGTGCTCTCGCTCTCTCTCGCTCTCGCTCTTCTTGAGATCCCCATTCTCTCCCCTACTAACCAAAAAAGAAATAGAAAGGAAAAGAAAATCCCTCTTGTCTTGGACTCGACAAGACCCAGTGGAACCGAAGCTGGACTGACTATCTACACCATTTCCGGCCCGCTGCCAAAGAAACCACAGTCTGACTTGTTTGCCCAGACCTGCCCCAGTCGCATGGGATCCGCTGCGCGGGACGCGGTTCAGTCAGTTGGAGCTTTTCCAGTTATAGTTTTCTCTATTTTATTTTATTCTTTTTATTCTTTTTTATTTTTTTTGGTCCTGATTTTTGATTTTCTGGTTTCTATTTTCTCAAACTAAAACCAAATGATAAAAAATTTCCACATTGACCTCCAACGGGCTCCGCGAATATATTTAGAGCATGGCCCGCCCCTCTCTCCTCATCCGTGATCACCTTCTATTCATCTACCTGTATATAAACCCCTCTTGTGTTCGCTGGCTTTGCGGCGTTGCCATCTCATCCCCTCACCTTCCATAACTTTCTCTCTTCCATCTCGTTGCGCTTTTCATACTTCCCAGCCCACCTCATACATCCCATCAATGGAACCTCTGTCGCGGAAGCCGGAGATTGGCTTCCAGAACTATCGCAACATGCCCCTCCCCCATGGATCTTCGGCGGCGCCCGCCCGCCTGAGCCCGGTGCCGCAGGATGAGCTCCATGACCTCCTCTGCGTCGGGTTTGGCCCGGCCTCTCTCGCGATCGCAATCGCCCTGAACGATACCATCGATCCGTGCCTGAATAAATCTGCCCCCGCTGGCTGGCAACCCAAGGTCTGCTTCCTCGAGCGACAGAAGCAATTTGCCTGGCACTCGGGTATGCTGGTGCCAGGCTCCCGGATGCAGATCTCGTTCATCAAGGACCTGGCGACCATGCGCGACCCGCGCAGCAGCTTCACCTTTTTGAACTACCTCCACCAGAATGACCGTCTGATCCATTTCACCAACCTTAGCACCTTCCTCCCCAGTCGCATGGAGTTTGAGGATTACATGCGGTGGTGTGCGCAGCGCTTTAACGATGTGGTGAACTATGGAGAGGAGGTCGTTGAGGTGGTCCCCGGGAAGACTGACGTTAATGGCTCCCTCGTCGACTCGTTCACGGTCAAGTCCCGCAATACCGAGACTGGTGAAATCAGCTCGAGGACGGCTCGCAAAGTGGTCGTTGCTCTCGGTGGCAGGGCGAAGCTTCCCCCGGGCCTTCCTCAAGACTCGCGGATCTTACATTCCTCCCAGTACTGCACTGGCCTGCCGGGCGTGCTGAAGGATGCTCGGGAACCTTACAGCATTGCGGTCCTTGGAAGCGGACAGAGCGCCGCGGAGATCTTCCACGACGTCCAGAAGCAATACCCCAATGCGAAGACGACCTTGATTATGAGAGACACGGCCATGCGGCCCAGTGACGATTCACCATTGTGAGCTGCCCCAGTCCTTTCTTTATGCTATTCGATTCCATTCAAAATCCCCTCTCTTTGATGGAGGCTAACAGTTCAAGTGTCAACGAGGTCTTCAACCCCGAACGAGTGGAGAAGTTCTTCAACCTCTCCCCCGCCGAACGCCAACGCTCGCTCCTCGCCGACAAGGCAACCAACTACAGCGTCGTCCGCCTCGAGCTCATCGAAGAGATCTACAACGACATGTACCTCCAGCGCATCAAGAACCCCGACGAAACCCAATGGCAGCACCGCATCCTCCCCTCCCGCAAGATCACGCGCGTCGAAACCAACGGACCGAACAACCGCATGCGTGTCCACGTCAAGGCCGTGAAGGACGGATCGGAGAGCATTGTCGGAGACGGCAAGGAAACCGTCGAGGTTGACGCATTGATGGTCGCCACGGGCTACTACCGCAACGCGCACGAGCAGCTGCTGCGCAGTGTGCAGCACCTGCGCCCTGCGAACCAGGAGCAGTGGACCCCTGCCAGAGATTACCGCGTCGAGATGGACTCCAGCAAGGTCAGCCCCGACTCCGGGATCTGGCTGCAGGGCTGTAATGAGAAGACCCACGGACTGAGTGACAGCCTGCTGTCTGTGTTGGCGGCGCGCGGTGGAGAAATGGTGGAATCCCTCTTTGGAAGCCAGCTCGGTGCGACGGTGCAGGACACCACTAGAGTTCGCGCTATGCTATAAACGGAATTAGGTCTTCCTCAGCTATATTGGTGGTTTTGTTTATTGCCATGAAGTGAGATAATCAACTTCAGCAATCGAAAAAAAAGGACGGGGGGAGGAAAGGAAAAAGGGGCGAGGGCAGCAATTGCGATATAACAGGCATATCGGTCTTTTGGATTGTGTTCAATTATACCTATATACTTCATTATTACCCATACAGTTTTATCTTCTATTCCTTTCTTTGATTCAATTATTAATCTTCTAAGCTTGATCATGATGAGAATCAAGACAGTGACTTCGCCGCATCTACTTTCTGCACGCACAGTCGCACACACAGACCAGAAGAAAGGACCCAATCTCAACCAAGCTCGTGATGAAATTTGCACCCTCGTCAGACTTAGCCAGGGACCTAACTAACTTTCGTAAGAAAAAAAAAAACAAAAAGACCTTCGGTGGAGCTCTGCTGCGTCAACCGAGGCCGGTGCCGGGACACTCAGCCCAACAAGCCGGTATGGTACGTTGAAGAGAACTTCAGATGGGGGAGCCCTAAGCGAAGAATCACAGGAGGTACACACTACTCACTCAGTATTCGAGTCGGGAGGATTCCGGGTAGCTGTGAGCTGATTTTTACCCTTTTTTTTCATCTACTTTTGTTGGTTTGTTTTCTTTTTCTTTCTTTCTTTTTTTTTTTTTTTTTTTTTATAGGGGTCATACTAATTTCCAACGGATCCAACAGCCGGCGGTCTGATAATCTGATTAGATAAAAAATTTCTATTTTCTTTTTTCCCTCGTTATCAGATGGCGCCATTCCACAAACAAAAAATACCAGGCGCGTTCCCGTCTTGTGGGAAAAAAAGCTGAAAATGAACCATGGCTGGAGGCTGGGGCCGCCTTTTTGCTGCTGACTCGTCATTGTCTACGCCACGCTCGTCTGCCAAGACAGTCTAACACTGGGGCTAGGGAGGTATCCAATTATTTCAATATCCATCCCATCATCATCGGAAATGAACTTGGGAGGGGGATGGGTCTTGCTTCTACTGATTGATTACGTTCTCTCCACTTTTTTCCCACGTTGCCTGGTTATGTCTCGTGATTTCTTGCGCTCTTTGGTTCCTGATTTGCAGGGCTGGGATTGTACGGAGTGGTGGACTAGGTCCTCCGTACTGATTGATTGTTGATTGATAATTTTCGCGAGTCCCACATATGATGGTGCCAAGGTGGAGTCGTATATTGGCATCATCGAGTTTATTACCTAGGTCGTATCGTCGGGTTTCTTTGCTATCCACCGATATGCATTGTTCCTGCACCTTATTATCGTTCAGTAGGGTGGGATTGAGGTACCTGCCCTACACTGTATCTGATGATATCCCTATGCTGTGAAGAGATTGAATCGACATTCGGTCAAAGTTTGCATGGCATGTTGATCCATTTCATCCTCCTCTCCCTCTCAATCTCTCACCCCGACCTTCTCCAACGTATGATCCATACATCATAGACCTTCCTCCTCTTCTCCTGCTACCCGATGATCCCATTTTCCCATCTCCATCATCCCAGTCCCTCCTGACACCTGGATCGGTCGGCCCCAGGCGACGACTCCAGCCCACAGCCGATCATCTCCCATTTGTTTCTTGGTGTCTTGATTCCTTTAGGAATGTACTGCGCTCTTCTACCGAACTTTCTTCTCGCCTTCTCCACCGCTTTTCTTCACCCCACTAGTCCACCACACCGCACCAACGTAACATACGGTACCATCAGGTCACTCAATGCCTGCTAGTCGCGACTACAGTAGGGCCAGCGGAAGGTTATTCAAGTCTGCACTGCAGACTCTCCGGCGATGTCTTGAGAGCAGAATTGACCGTGGAATCGCTGTTTAGCGAGGTACTAAACTAGCCAGCTACCAAGTACCAACGCCGTGAGGCTTTTATCTTTAATATGTGCTTCGTCCATCCATTCATTCATTCATTTATTTATTTATTGCATGGTGGCATTGACGTATTGTGACTGTTGCGGTTCTTCTTACGTAGTAGTATAGTAGTAGCAGTAGTCGTAGCGGGTCCAGCCTTGCCCTTATCCAGACAAGTGCATGATCTGATAATGATATTGTCGCTTCCGTAGTCCCGTGCCGACTTCAATCTGGAGCAGATCGTTGGAGAGGTATTTTCCACTGGACAGGTTGAGGGGATAATTTGAAGATTAGAAAAAGAATGATCATAAGGTACGACGATCAGGGATTGTCAGGCAATTGCCAAAGATCTGTGTCTCCCTCTTCCTGTCGAGGAAGCAAACCAAAGGGGGGTGGGGGGATCAATCAAGTGCAAAAAAGTAAAGAAAGAAAAGCAGGGTTATTCCGAGCTCCTGCCGAGATAAGATCTTAGTGCGATAAATGACTTTGATTTCGGGTTTGATCTTTTCTGGCTTTTTTTTTCTTCTAAGAAAAGAAAAGGAAAAAAAAAAAAGCTTTTATTTATTTTCCACTTTTATCTTACAAATTGTATACAAGCTTTCCTTGTTTTTTATTTTTATTTAGTTTGAATTGATATTAGATGGTTTTTTGTGGAAAAAAAAAAGAAATAGAACTTGATTTATTCTCCGACTTTCCTCTCACTATGTTTACTTCCTTGCGACGTCGGGTGTTTCGGGGAGCGTGGACTCTAATAGGTGAGGTACTGGTTAGCCCCTACTGGCTAGCCTGGTATTGTGTTTGGTTTGATACGTGTTTGACGGTGTATGTATGTATGTATGTAATTATGTGTGGTATGGTACTGTTAACTAGCTAATGGTAGGTATCCGTACCCTCCAGGCTCTATCTGGTGTTACTATGGCCAGACCAGTTACCACGATCAACAGAATCCTTAGAAAATTGTTTCTAATACTTGTGTTTAAGACAATTTAGGTCATTGTCGTCTTTGGGAACTGTCTTTCTATCCTTGTATGTGATCCTTTAGACTTGCATCGGTCAAATATCCTGGTTTCTACCTACAGCGTGCCAATAAGTACCCTGGGTCGCTGGCTTCATTAGGTGGTCTTGACCCCTTGACCATGACTGCAGACCCAGTTCCAGTTCCAGTCTATACAAACAGGTGGTAGGCATGACATCTAGATGGTTACGCCTGAGCTTATCTAATGCCTATGTAGCTCGAGGCTGAGGAATAGTCTTCGCACCGTTTTATTATTCATGGCACAGCATATGAATACCTGTGGTCTATCCTACATGCAAAGCATGACAATCAAACAAAAGCTCAAGAAAGGATATCACACGCTCCATCTAACACTGTCCTGTATACATATCAACATAAAGCCTCTAAGCCACGTACATGGTCATCATCATGTCAACTTCGGCGACAAACAGCCGCAATGGCAAGGAATGCGGACAACCGTCCTCAAACCTCTTCACCGGCTACACTGCGGTACCCCCCGCCACTATACATCTGTGACGGAGATTCGTACATGCGGTTATAGTTGATGGTCTCTCCGCCGAGCATCGCAACTCCAGGCTCCCGTCGGCCGAAATACGGCGTCGAGTCGCACCAGAAATCCCGGCAATTCGTAACAACTCCCCTGGAGAAGGGGTTCTTGGGCCGGCCAGTCCGCACACGATCGCGCAACCCATCCCGTGCCGTCGCGAAGAAGGCGTCAACGCCGAGAAGAGACGACCATTGTTGTAAGCAGCCATGACGCCGTTGTCGGTGGGATGAGCCAAGCATCGGATTTGGGCCTTGGCCGTTGGATGAGAGACCAGCAGCATCAAATGATGTAGTTCCAGCGGTCATGGCAGAGGCAAAGGCGCGCGAGCTTGGGTAACTCCTGTCAATCGAGTGACCTCTCATGTTCTCGTACGTCGTCTGGTTCCGCGCTATTTGAACCAGCTGAACCGCGCACAACATGGTGACCCAGACCAGCTGAATACAAACCCACAAGACAAGAATGAGGGTAAAGGTGTCGCGTAGAACATAGGAGCACAACTTCTCATTGATGACACTACACGTGGCCTCCGCAGGAGATGGCAGAACATTGATGTCTAGCGATCGTTAGGCAAGTTCACTACGCTATGAATTGGCGGGGTTACTCACAGTTGAATGTCAATCGCAAAAACAAGAGGATGCCGATCTCCAAGCAGGTGATATACAAGACAAAGTGGCGTAGATTATTTGTTCCGACACAGTTGTCAATCCATGGGCAATGACTAAAAAAAAATCAGTACTAGATTGGTTGCCAGCAACTTCTCGGAGCTTGCTCACTGGTCATGTTTCGACACGCAACGCGCGCAGCGCTTGCAGTGCTTGCTCCGCAAGGGCTTTCGGATCATGCAATAAACACAAAAGTTCTCTTCATCGAACTTCCACTGCTCGAACAGTTCGGCAATAGTAGCCCTCTGCTGGTTCCGGCTGCCGAGTTTGGGCACAAATCCGGGGTCCTCTATCATCGAGCAACCATAGAAATATGCAGTCAGGCAGAAAAAGACTGCAAATGACACATTCAAAATTGGGGACGAAGAAAAAGTCGCTGGAGGCCACTGTCAGTGCTCAAACTCCCAAGGTAGACAGCCATTTGGGGAGACACCGTACCTGGTAGGACGTGGAAAACGTATCTGACTCCAACCCAGAACAAAGTGCCCGCAAATACACCCGATAGATATGGCTGGGCAAGAAGTCAGCAAAGTAATGGCTGTAAAGGTGGTGATTAGTAGAATAGGGAATCAAGCATACTGTTTTCTGGAGTACTCGATACTCGGAAGGACCCTGGCTGGCCGCCTTCTGCGCTACCCACTGTAGGCCAAACGCCACCACGAGCGTGCTTGGAATGGAAAGATAGATCGGCATGTTGCTGAGGATCCAAATGGCCACAAAGACAATAAGAAAGGGCCAGAGGAAGAAAAACTTCGACATCGCGTTTTTGCTCCTCACCCAAGTCGTCAAGCCAAAAGGCAGCGTCTTTGAATTCCCGTCCAGGTCATACCCACACTCGTCCAAAGCCCGGTACCACACCCGGGTGGTGTTCATCTCCCCCGCAACTATCGCGGGCGTTTTACCATCACTGGTCTTGGAAAACCTATCCGCTCCATACTCTACGAGTCGTTGAACGCAAGGCAAGGATCCTTTCACCAGAGCCCAATGAAGGGGGGTGAGACCGCCATCGTCAACTGTGTTTGGATTGGCGCCCCAGCGCAAGAACAGGTCCACACACGCAGGGAATCCCTTATAGGCTGCCCACATCAGACCGGTATGGCCCTGTTGATCGACGACATCCACCGGTATTTCCTGGTGCAGCAGCAACACCAATAAAAACGCATTTCCATCAATAGTAGCCAGGTGTAAGATGTTGTATCCTTGGACATCCGTAAGAAGAGGGTCTGCGCCGCGTTGGAGGAGTAAATGGACAATGTAATAATGGCATCGCTGAGCAGCCCACATTGCTGGTGTTGCTACCGATTCCCCTCCTTTGGCGTTCACGTCGGCGCCGGAATCCAACAAGAACTTGCACATCGCGTATTGGTTGTTGATCGCCGCCCACTGAGGAAAGAAATGAGGCGTCAGTATAGGCCTCCACTATCGGGGTAGACTTCGACCCCAAAAAGGAGGATTCAGGTGGTACACACATGTAGCGGAGTTATCCCTTCTTCATCGGCATGGGTTGCCGTGAACTTTTTCTCATCAAACAACCTTTGCATGGCTGGGACCTCCCCGATTCGGGCAATCTGCATGACGTCCTCTCCAAGCGGAATTGAACCCCCGCGACGCGCCGGTTTGTTCATCTGTTTGAGCTCAACGCTGGCGTTTTGAGGGGCGACTTGTGGAGGAGAAGCCGTGCTTTTGCGCTCGGAGGGAGAGGAGTTGTTGGAATCCAGCCCAGCAGAGCTGCTATTGCTCTGCGACCCCGGCGGAGACATGGTGTGCGTATTTAATCGTGGCCCTCCCATAATTTCTGGTTAGGAGATAAAGCGCCCGACCCAGCCGTCAGCAAGAAGATATGCGAAAAAAAAAAAAAAAACGGATGAGAGAAGGTGGTAGGCGTTTCGGTCTGGCGATTTCTTTCACGGTATCCCAACAACCATTGCGCGGTCAAAGTCACGAAAGGAAGAAAGGTCAGAGTCGCCTATACGTCTGAAATCAGATCGAATGAACAGAAACAGGAAGAATATTATGTGCGGGAAAAGAATATATGTCCCCTGGCGGAAAGCGAAAAAGATCAAGAATAACAAACAGAACAAGAAAATTTGGGGATTCAGAAGACCAGGCAGATGGAATCGAGAAGGGGGAAAGGCTGAGGCTCGGAGGATGTGCAAGAGCCAATTGTCTTCTAGTCTATTCGGGGAGACCGCCGCACTGGAGACTCGCCGACCTTAATGTAGGTGCCTGGAGCCCGATTTCCAAGCACGACTAATCAAGTCGAGGTTAGTGCCTTACAGGATCTTCCGTATACAGGTGGTCTATCTACACAGGGGGAAGAGGCAAGTGTTGTTCTTTCCTTTTAGTTTTTCTTCCATGAAGAATAGTAGTAGTTGGTTTACTGTTTACTGCCTGATGATGGATGCCACCCGCTGATTCAGCATTCGAACAGAGAATGGTTACTATTCAAGAGACCAACTTGAACAATCCTGTGGAACATGAGTATGCAGGCTCTCTCTTGTTCACCAGATGAATGGCCAACGCATTGAAACTCAAAAATGCTTAAGTGCCCAAAAAAGTAATGTCGTGGGTTATTCCAAGAAGCCCCCAGCCTGGTCCAGCCACCACAAAGAGCCCCTTCCCTTCCTCCTACATAAAAAGGGGGAACAGAAAACAGGGAGAGGGTGAGGACAACTTTCGACATAGAAGGGCAGGAGATCGGTGCATCTCAATCATGATTGGGCCCAGGCCTCAATGCAAAAGAATCCCGTCGGATGTAGCTTAGATTGAAGACATCGCCCATAGGATCGCCGTCAATGGTGTAGGATTTGACACGCTCGGGGGCTGGTATGTTCCCTCTCTGCCACTGGAGGGGTTTAACGAGCCCATAGCTATGGCTTAATCAAGAAGTATGGCGATAATAATCAGGAACAACCCCCCTCAATGCCTGTGGACCGCTCAAGGTACTTGACCTGGTCGACGAGCATTTGGAGATCAACTCGCAGCTCGAAATCTGCAAGGAAACAGAAGCTGATCTCGAGCTTCGACAGTTCGCCCTCACTCACCCCACCGACTCTGGCTACACGATGGTGGGGGTAGCTGAGATCTTCCAGGGATTTCATGGCCACGCGGAGACTAGCCAACACTAGGCGGTGCATGTTCCTCGAATTCAATGATACGACCTTTTCAACCACGACCATTCTAGTAATGTACACGCTAGCAGCTAGGTACACAGCTGTCGACATCGGGCAGTATCGGTGCAGCCGTTGCAGATAGTCCTTCATGTTGATCGGTGGTTCGCGCTTTGAGACGAACCTTTTGGACAGGACGCTCTGCTGAACAAAATCATGACCGGCCCCAACATAACCTGCCGGAGAGCAGTGCAACTCGGTGACCCTTATTGGAGTGACTTCTCCGCTGGAGATGCTATCACGCCGAGCCCCAGACACGCCCACCGAGTTCCTGTCAACGGGTAAACATTGTCTCTCAGCTGATTTGACAAGCATCTCGATGTTGAGGTACAAGAGCTCTAGGGCAGTCGCTGGTGGGATATCGAAATCTTTCTTAGCGGCCTCCAGGTCGTGCTGTGCTGTCGAATCATTTGCGCCTGCGGATAAAACCTGCGCATCTCCGTCGCATTTATCAGGACCGTCCATTGCGACAAAGAGCAAATCTTTGGCAATCTAGTTGTATGAACGCAAGGAGCACCCCTGGGCTCACAGGTAGATAAGGCTGCTTGGGCACGAGTGGCATGGTGGGACCTAGCCCAAATTATGACGTGACCCCTGGTACCTTTGTTTCGTGGACTAGAGTTCGACTTTTGGTGGTTGCGCTCGAAAGCTGGAATTAGAGGTGATCCAGTATGAGATACCGAGGCAAGAGAAACAGGAAACGTTTCTAGATGATATGATTCATGATCGATGCTGCCAGTTGGAATTTTTCTCAAAAAAAGCAACCTTGTAGTTTGAATAGTACAAGCTTGTGGGTGAATGGGTCTTGGATGTCAAAGCAGTTCAAGATAACAGGCTCACTGTTGCTCACATAAGGCTGTTGATGACGAGAATAACAGAATTAAATGATGGAAAAGGGTGTGTTAGCGCATAGCCATGATTCACCCAACTTAGAAAGAGTAAGTGATGCCAAAAATCACGGTGACAGGATGTAGATGGATACTCAGAAGTAGTGGAATCTCGACTTGGTGTTTGTCGGTCGGACATTCAATTTCCCGATGTCACATCTAGAGATCTGATGTCTAATGGTACCCAAGTGCCTCCACCTACCGGTATTTACTTCGTTAAATCAAATCGATACATATATCTATACGCATAGGTACTTTATACACATATACAGACAGACTAACTAGCGTTAAGTGGGTATCCTTCTATTTCGATGAAATACAAGCAAGTCATCGCTTAAAACAATGGGACTTTAACGCCAACGCCCACGCCGACCATATCCATGTCGCTCTGTATCATCGAACGATGTTCTCGAATCGTCAAACAGAGATTCTCTAAAATGGCCTGATGGGCGGCTTCGCCCCCACACGGTGTATGATCTGAGATTATGCCCAAAATCCGCGTGTCTCCGCCTCGATCGAGCTTCAGCGTAAATGCGCACTGCCGCATCTGACATCTGGCGTTTGCCATCTTGAATAATCCGTGGTGAAATGCGACTGGTGCGGAGCCGATGCGCAAATGTCCTTTCCGTTCCACGCGTCTCTCTGAATGGAGGTGAACGAAGTCTTGGGGGCGGGCTGCTGTTGAATGAATCACGCCGGTTGTCCGCTCGGACACGGGGAGTCTCTTGGTTCGAATGATCAAGAGAGGTACGTCGCCGACCACCTAGCTTACTAGCTATGTTGCCTCCTCTGGCCCGACTGGTGTTTTGGACATATTCCACCTCCTCGGCAAAGCGTACCTGTCGCCGCCGCCCCATGTTCCTCTCGCTGTCACTGCCATGGATGGGGCTGCTGCTTTGATGGATCTCCACTGGCCGACTGGAAGTCCGCCGCTGTCTCGTGCGCATAGGTTCACGCTCACTGACGGGTGTTCGCTCTCTAGGGGGTCTGGGATTCCTCGTTGGCTGGCTAGGGCGAGAGTAACGAGGGCTGCAAGAGGAGGAACCATCCAATTCGTCTTCCGACTCAATATCTTCGAATCCATCGGTATCACTATCCTGCGTTGAGTCGGAACTTGTTTGAGTAAACGTCGACACTCGAGGCCTTCGCGGTGCTCTCGTTATTACCTCCGGGGAATCGACCGCAAATGGTCGGGGCGATCTGTCGCGGCACCTTGATGGGCGTAATCCATGATCGTTGACTCGATCCGTGAATCGCCTGATGGATGGTAAGTCGAACTGGAATGGTCGACTTCGAGGTATCGAATGTCTTGCAGAAGAAATTCTCTCGGCATGACACTTCCTACTCTGTCCCTGTGGCTCGATGATGTGAAAGCTTGGCACCCTCATTGCTTGTGAGACTCGCGGCTGACTGTACGAAGATTGCTGATATCTAGCACAGTCTTGTGGCTGCGTGCGTCTGCTCGGTCCAGTGCCCAGGCTGAACAGACTGCGACGGGTGACTTTTTTCGTGCGGATCTCTATCGGATATACATCCGCGTAGTCCTTAGCCAGGCACATCTTTCGTTATCGCGCAATATCCTGATACACTGGGCTGGTTAGGTGCGCAAGGCACACTTCAATGAAGCGCAACAGAGCTGAGAGACTGGAGATGACTCGAGAGCGAAAGAAAAGATATATAAGGCCCAGGCGTACTTCGACAGCAGCCCGGACATCCAAAATTTTTGATACTATACTCGAACAACAAAAGACCCACGCTTAACAATGACGGGGCATATTAATAGTCACCGACAAAGAAGAGCTCGATCTCTTACGCGGCTCAACTTGCAGAGACAAATGGATTCTCACAAACCTACAATGTCATGGAAACAAAGACAGACATGTGGTGTCGGAGTCATGCGTTTTAAACGCCTGATTTGGAACTGGACTCGGCGTATGTACTTTCTTTGAAGAAACGCCCCGGCGGTGGAAACGCGCCCGGGGATGCCTTTGGTTTTAAGGGTGACTGAATGACTTGAACAATTACAAGAGGCTTAGCGAGCATTTACACGAAATGGGCACGCCTAAGGGCGATTTTTTCAAGGATCTTGGTTGGAGTAGCCCGGAGAGGGTTCCTTGCAGGTAGGTATATAGCAGTAATTAGTACCTAAGACGACAGTAGCCTCCCGAACCCAATTGTGCCACTGGCAGCCTAGGCGATCGATTGGGTAAACGGACTCTAAATAGGCTTGCATTCGAAGGATTTCACCGCAGACACCCCAAGAACAGCCCCCGTATTTCTCTACCTAGTGGGTCCATGAGGAAAGAAGGGGTGGGCGGGCAAGAGAGTCGACTGGCCTCGGTCACAAGGGCTCACTTGAAGTCAGCCGGCCCAACAGAACAAAGGGCAAAGGCAAAAGAACGTCTCCGACAAAGGGGAACTAAAAAGGGCAGTCCTTGAAAGAGATGACATCACAAAAGGGTTTTATTGAAGACAAAGGTATCAACAGGGCACGAGTCACAACCGTCTGCATCAACCAACTGACGTTGCTGTCGATGTGGGACCAGCCCTACCGAGGAGTCCATTGTATGCGCCCGAGGGTACCTACAGGGCACGGGCGACTTGCATCCATACTAAGGCGTGGCTTCCAGCCCGTCGACAACAATAATATCATTCAACTGGCGCAGAAGCAGTAACTCAGGGGATATCATGGTTGCACATGGCACGCATGAATGATGTCTCGCAGGCCCTGCCATGTGGACCAAACTGAAGGACGAGAACAGATCAGATTGGTCGAATGGCGGGGAATAGCATGAATGACTGGATGGACTGATGCATCCTGGCAGCCTGCAGGTGATGTGGCGCAGATCTACCTAGGAGGATTTCGCACCGCCACCGTCCTGTGTGGCTAGGCATTGCAATGATGTATGTAGCTTTGAGAAGAGCTTATTGTGAATATTAAATATCATAGTGTTGGAAAAGTCATATCCATCAATTGCGGTTTATTACCCCAGAGCGAGGCTATCGCGAGACATTATGATCAGTGGAGACAGCCACAGCTCTAGTCCATCCATCTACGTCAACGGCCAATCCTTCTAGGACAAAGATTGGGCACAGGAGGAGTGCCCCTTGTGTCTTGTCGCGTTATGACCACTGCTCCATGAAATTGCTCTGGGTCTTGTCTCGTCGATAAACCACGTCCAGATCGAGCTTCTGCATCCCTTTCTGGAGACGACCCAATTCAGATTCAAGGACTTCCAGTCCCCTCTCGTGATCGAGATCGACAAGCGAGCTTTGAAAATGTGAATTTGTTTCCAAGGAAGACAGGAGAAGCATGGATGCCTGATCACTTGGAATCAGCTCGTCCTTTAGCGGCGAATCAGCCGCAATGCTATAGCTCCGCAAGCATTCAAGCGCCTGCTTTCTCTTTTCAGCAAGCTCGGTAGCACCGCCACCCTTCTCTTCCGAGCTCAACACCGACTCATATGATAATCCTACGCGGCGCATTAGGTTAGCAAGCACCGGGGTTTCCGGGGCGGAGTCAACGCAATCGGGAGCAAATGTCGCCATTGGGGCTGTGGAAAGTCTTCTCAGTGTGTCCCGCCTTGGAGCGCTTTGCTCGGAGAAACGGTCGCCCATCTCTAACCGGTACGTGGAGGTAAACGATTCGAGAATACCACAGAGCGACTCGCGATTCTGCAAGGACTTCGTGAGGTACTTGGCCGAGGAGGTCATTTCACCAATTATGTCGGAGATCTGCCAGTGGTGAGCAAGGGAATCAGGAAGCCAAAGTAGCAACATACATTGTCAAGTTTTTCATGAGATGCAACGCGCTGCTTGCCATGGTGGTTCTGGAGTTCTCGCAGTATAGGCCCGCTACACTGTTGCTTGGTAGACATCTCTGCTAATATTTCGATTTCGGGGTATAACGCTTCCAACTCCTCGGACAGGCCGGACCACGCATCATCCTCGGTACTCGTTGGGTTGTTGAATCCCGCATCGTCGGATTCGATACCTTCTAGGTATAGACGGTCCAGCCGACAGTGTATTTCTTCAGCGAGATAGCTTGCGAGTAAAGATTCCAGCTCTAATGTCCGTTTAATTACCAAAGAGTCATCACCGCCACCTTGTATTGTAGATGCGGTCTTCTCCAGATTCAGAATGACCTTGTCGTCTTCCTTCAGTCGAGCTGTCAGAGAAGACAGTATCCGTTTGCCTTCTGCTACCGCTTTCTCCGTTTCACTTTTCAAGTCGATTTCCAACTCCTGAGCGAGGTCACTGGACTGTAAAATTGACTCAGCTAACTGCCGACGCGATGTGGATTATGAAGCTTGCGTACCGCCGAAGATGTCTTCTGTCGCCCCAGCTCGTGCTTGGACCGTAGTCGCTCAATGTCTCTTGCCGACCTCAATTCCTGCTCACCTTTGACGCAGCGTTGGTTATTGAAAGATTCTTGTTGCGCCGCTAGAATATCAACCTGCTTCCGGATCTCCCCTGTCGAAGCATTTAACGAATCGGTCGCCTTTCGCAGTTCTCCGTCGTGTAACGGCCGGGTCGCACCAGTGTCGGAGTCGTGGAGAATGTTTCGAAGAATGCCCGAGCTGTCTAGCTTCGAATACCTAAGTAGATTAAAAACCACAGGGATTAGCCAACAGGACGCGATAAATTGGATCACAGTATAACGGCCATACAGCGCGAGCTCTTCTTGCGACAAAAGAGTGTCCGGACTCAAATGCTCCTCCACCCATTTGACATTCTCCGGATGAGTCGCGTCGTTGAGCGCCGACTCGATATCATCGCGACTGGCGCGAATATTGCGGTCTTTCAATATGGATAGTACTGTGTTTGTTGGATCTGTGGAGAGCTCCATGGTTTGTTTTGTTCGGTTCGCGAGGATGAATAGACAGGAGCTGGCATAGTTGGAAATTATTAGTCAGTTGGTTACCAGTAATTTACTCATCTACCCATCTGTCACCGCTTGGTTACCGCTTCAAGTGCCATCTTTGAGATGTACCATTCTTGCACCACTACCAAAGTCGCGGTCGTGAAACATCTTGTTTTCTTGGTTCTTTATCAAGCTGCCCAATTTGGTCCGGTCCTACTTCGAACGTATCTCTACAGCGAGAAGATTCAAATGATCTAATATTTTGAACGATCTATTCTAAACTCCCAACTAAGCTCAGGTTAACTAGGATCCATGGGCCGCCGATCCATGGGCCGGCGCATGGCCGGCTTCATGCACCTCTGGGTAGTACCAGGTGGTGACCGCGATAATAACATAAATCAACACACAGAGCCCGCCTTCAAGGTAGTTGGACTTGCCATCCCTCAGGAAATTTCCGACCACAAGAATAGACAAGACAACGGTGACTATCATGAAGATCTCAAAATTCAAACCCATGTCCTTTCCGAGGCCCCAGCCAACGATTACCACCAGCGGTGCATTCAAGAGGGCGGTCTGGATCGATGGGCCAAGGCAATGGAACAAGGCGAAGTTGATTTGGTTATCCCTATACCATGATTAATTTATGTTTTTGTCTTCGGGATGCGTTGGGACGAGGAATGAACCCACCAGGCTTCGTCGATGGCCGTCAAATGCTCCGCTGCCTTTTCAACCAGCGGAACCAGGATCAGACCCATGAAATTATCGGGTACTCCCCTCTCGACGATGTGCTCGATCTCTTGAACCAAGAAAACAGCCGACATACACACGAATGCAAGTGACACCGCAATAGCGATGAAACACTCAACCAGGGTGAGTTTGGCACGTCTTTTCTCCTCTTCCCGATCTTCATCCCGATGCTCGTCTTTCTCGAGGACCTCGTCGAAGATGCTGTGGTGGCTGTGGAGGTTGTAGAATAGGTACCTAAAACGAGTCAGTAAGAGATGCCACGACCTGGGTTGCAACGCGTATAAACCCACATGAGGAAGGCAACAAGGAGGAGCACGGCAGTTGCTCTGCTAATGGTCAAGGTGTATTCATTCAGGAGTGCCTCCGGGAGGGGTGCGGTGGCTTTGGAGAGCACAGCTGCGTTAAAGGCACTCGGAATTAACAGGCCAAACCCTGCAACCAGCAGGAGCCCCGAGCCAACTTCGCTAACTGCTTCATGGAAGACCTGTTCTTCCCGCCCAAAACCACCGAGGAAGAAACATAATCCCAAGCAGAGCAGAAGATTTGCCAAGATCGACCCTAGGATAGCCGCCTGGATGACAACAAAACTGTCATTTTTGATCAAGACCATAAAAAGAACAATCTCGACGACCGAGCTCAGGGTTGTCTCCAGCAGAACACCAAGCACCTTGGGTAACTTTTTTGCTAATTCTCCACCGGCAAAACCCAGAAGATTCGCCGACGGAACCATGGCGATATAGTTTAGCGCAAAGACCCATACGTGAAGGTCTGGTCGAGCGAAATGGAGCACAATAGCCGGTGGAACAAACGGCCAGAGGACGTTTACCAGCATGGACAAGGTACAGGTGCTCCTGAAGCAAACCTTCAGGAACAGAAGCGGATGAATCCCGCTTCGACCACTTTCACCAGCAGTGTCGATGCGAAACAACGTGCTGTCGGCATGGTGGGCCTTTTCGTTGTGAGACGGAAGCAGCCCGTTGTGATTTGGGTTCGCTCCTGGATGGTCTTGGTTCGGCACAAAGGCGTCCTGATATCCCCCCTCCCGTGGGGAGGATTCATGGGTGCTTCTCATGGCGACACGAAATGGATTCCGGTCCGAGGGCGGGCGCGTTGGGTGTGAAAATCTCCTGTGTATCGGTCAGGAAGTATGGAATCCTTCCTACCCTACACAGAGACAGAACAAAGAGGTTGATAATCCGAGTGACCCAATATCAACAGTTTGTTGGTGAATTCTTTATACAATTATATGAGAGAAAAATGAGATAGGAAGGACTGAACTTGGAAGTGGGCCAGACACAGGTTTTATTGCAAAGATCAGCAACAATGAGGCTTGGGTAAACAATCAAGAGTAAGGGGCCCTCGTGCCGTTAGAACGAATATTTTTAGAAAAGAAAACAACAAAACAAAAAAAAAAGGGACCACCAAGGTAGGTTTATATGCCACAACTATAATTGATTCGGCGAGATCAAATCTGTAGTAGTCGGGGTCGAGCGGAATTATATCAAAACATGGGGATCGCGAACGTTAATTCAGGAGACCATCCAAGACTACCAAGAGCACCAGCGTTTTAGGTTCAGCCCGTGTGGTGAGCGGCTGTGGTCGTGGCAGCGCAAGACTCGTGGGAGGGAAACAAACCCATGTATCAAGACTAACCCAAGTGGGTGAGGTGTGGTATGGCTACTTTGTAAGAGTCTATGAATATTCTTTATATCAACGCTTCAGGATCGGGTAATGAATCGATTTGCCAGTCCCACGTACAGTTGTACTCCGTATACTCCGTATATGGTAAGTGATTGATGGCCCAAGTGGTGCTGTCTCCATATTTATAGTGTGTGTGTTCTGCACAGCCACCTTGACTAGGTACTTGGCGGTGTCTTGGGGCTCAACGAGAAACATTTTGATTCATTGGCAATAACATGGATGTGTGTGTTTGCTCTGTATATCATACCGACAAACCACACAGACGATGCACGGTTTTGTTGGCTGATGAAGTCAATAGGCTCACAGCAGCAGTACTTACCTTAAGCACGCATGTGGCTATCGACCTATCAACTGGGTAGGATTTCGCAAGGAGTTGAGAAAGGTTATTTTACGGTGACACCTATCAGAGTCAACGACATTCCAGCTGACAACTGTGGAGGGCAGAGTGACTGGCGATCATCAATATTTTAAGATCCTATACAGGCGAGGCGGCTGTACCCTAAGCTTGGTGGCATATAGAGGCTTAATGTCATCCTAGACTTTGAAGTAAGCTGACAATACTAAATATATCATTGGCGTTGTAGCCAGTGCCGAAGGTGGGATGATATACAATACTGGTGTACCTTTGAATAATTGACCAGCTTGCCTCCATAGACAAGGACATCCTACTCGAATATTGACCGACCCACCAATCTTAGCCTCTGGTATCTTGGAAGTGTCCTATCATTTAGTCATTTTGATTGACAACAATTTGCCGAGCAATAATCCTACACCGTGCTGTGGGATGGAGTCATTATTGGCCCAAAAAAAACCTCACCATACAAGGTATCTAGCTACCTACGGAGTAGTTTAATTTCAAATATGGATCATGTGTATTGAGATGGGTGTACACAGTCATTTGGCAAGTATGCGAGTTAAATTGGTCTTTTTGGTACACGGGTGTAGTAACACACCCAAGTGTACTCCATCTGAACAGATTTAATGAATCTGCCTGGAGACATACACAAAGTACGGAGTCCTCTGGAGGATTCAGGGACTCAGGGACTCAGGGACTCAAAAGTGACAGGCTGGGCAATCAATCCGCAACGGTACGCCGTCCTTGGCTCAAGGGCTACCTCGATCCTGCCGTGCGATGTATTAAGGTATGGTATTGTCACTCAGATCGACATGCTGATCCCTCAACTAGTCCATTGATTGTCATCAACAAATGGACATGTTGGTTCCAAAGATTCTAGGATGGTAAATCATGTGATGGTTAATCAACATCTGCCTTCTATCTTCTTGGTTTTGGGGTTTCGCTTCTTTCAAGTCCGAAAGTAATGGGGGAGGAGTAGTACTTCATGGACATACCCAGAGCGTGTTCTGGTGGTATGGGTATGGCGAATACCTCGAAATCAACTAGAATGCATGCAGGGATTTCTCCGGTGGCCAAACGGCTACTATCGGGAGGGGCAACTTCTTACGAGATCTTTTTCCCTTGTCGCAAAACACAGCTCTTGTGCCTTTTATCAAGGTCCTTTTGGATTCAAATACAATAATTTTCTTTTCTTTTATATTTCCGTTTATATCTTCTGCGCACAACTGACCAAGTATTCGATCTTGAGATCCAAAATGTCTTCAATTACCGCACCCGGTGTCCCTCCGGTGGCCCTGGATACCATCACCCAGCACATTGGCAACACCCCTCTGGTGCGCTTGAACCGCCTTCCGCAGAGCTTGGGGATCGAGGCCAAGGTGTATGCGAAGTTGGAATATTTCAATGCCGGCGGTAGCGTTAAGGATCGCATTGCCCTGCGCATGATTGAGGAGGCAGAGCGGTCTGGGCGCATCAAGCCCGGGGATACCCTGATCGAACCTACCAGTGGAAACACGTATGTCGCGCCTCTTGCTTTCTTGTTTCTCCCTTCAATTGATCGTGTCTTGGTGAACTGACAGAATCGCTTAATTGTCGTCTATTAGTGGTATTGGTTTGGCTCTTGTTGCGGCCGTGAAAGGTTGGTCTGCGCTGATCCGAACTGTCGCTCGCTGGACCGTTGCTAATCTTTTTGAATTAGGATACAAGACGATCATCACTCTGCCGGAGAAGATGTCTGCGGAGAAAGTCTCTGTACTACGGGCCTTGAACGCAACTATCATCCGTACCCCCAACGAAGCCGCATACGACTCCCCCGAATCCCACATTGGCGTTGCTAAGCGTCTGGAGAAGGAGCTGCCGAACGCCCACATTCTGGACCAGTATGGGAACGTGAACAACCCCCTCGCCCACGAACTCGGCACGGCGGAAGAGATCTGGACCCAAACCGATGGGCAGATCAAGGCCATTATTGCCGGCGCGGGAACCGGCGGCACTATCACCGGTCTGGCGCGCGGCCTGAAGAAGCACAACCCGAATGTTCAAGTCATCGCGGCTGATCCTCACGGTTCGATTCTGGCTCTGCCGCCCACGTTGAACCAGGAGCATGTCAACGACCCCTACAAGGTGGAAGGCATTGGATACGATTTCATTCCCGAAGTCCTTGACCAGAGTGCCGTCGATAAGTGGTATAAGACTGCCGACAAAGAATCATTCCAGTACTCTCGGCGTTTGATCGCCGAGGAGGGTCTTCTTGTTGGCGGGAGCAGTGGAAGCGCGATCTCGGCTTTGGTGCAAGCTGCGAATGACTACAAGTTTACCAAAGATGACGTTGTGGTGGTTGTCATGCCCGATAGCATCCGTAGCTATCTCACAAAGGTATGTCTACGGCGGACCTCCCTCATCCATCATGCTAGAGTCCTAATATATCTCTAGTTTGCCGACGACGACTGGCTTGCCGCAAATGGCCTCCTCACCCCTCCCTCGGAGGAAGCTACCCCTCTTTCCCCGGCACTCCGGGCTCAAGACAAAAAAGATCCTTTCGCTGGCTCGAAGGTCCGATCCTTGCGGTTGAAGCCGATCACCACCGTCCGCCCCGATACGCCCTGCGAAACAGCGATCGAAATGATGAGAGATCGCGGATTCGACCAACTACCCGTGCTCGCGCCGTCCGGAAAGAGACTCGCCGGCCTCGTCACCTTGGGTAATGTCCTCAGTCGAGTCACCCACGGACGCGTATCCGGAAAGAGCCCCGTCTCCGATGCCATGTTCAACTTCAACAAGATTTCCGAGGTTGTTACGGACCCCAGAGACATGGGACTGGCCAGTCCCAAGGCCAACGGCGACGGAAACGCAGCACCCAAAATCAAGAATCGGAAATTCGTCGAGATCACGATGGATACCCCGCTGAGCGCCTTGAACCGGTTCTTTGAGTGGAACAGTGCCGCTGTTATCACTGAGAAGGACGAGCAGGGCATCATGAGACCGGTGGCTGTTGCCACCAAGGTTGATCTGCTTACTTGGATGCTCCACAACCAGAGCTCTAACTGAAATTAATGTGTTTGAGACTTTCGCATGCAAATGCAATGTGCATTGTGGGGAGATTATATGTAATTAAGGAATTTTGGCTCGACCTATATAAAGTATAGAAAGAGGGAGAAGGCATGAACACACGCCACTATATGGTCCGTCATGTTCAATGGGATCTGGTATTAGAGTTCTCATGGTTTTCCCAAGTCAACTACATATAACGTAATGCTGTTACAAGACATGACCACCACCGAGACGCCTTTTTGTTGGAATTGCAGTGACACTCACACCGCACCAAAATTACTTCGTGTGGCACCACTCCAGCTCCGGCTCTACGCATCGTAGCTCTACGGGTGTCCAAAGCTCTCGGATGGCCAGATGTCTATAGACTCAACCTTCCCAAAATATGCTACCGCAATCTCTTCGATATTGACTATACATCATATAGCGACAGTCTCACTTGTAGTATAAAAGAGTCATGATATTATATTCCAATATACCACTGTCTCCGGGTCCTCGATATATGCCATTTCCACTGTTACATAGCTAGCCGGCACGCATAGGTAAAGCGTTATCATGTTAGATTTGGAAGTCCTTGACTTCCATAGTAGGGCTGCACAATTTCCCTAGACGAGATAATCAAGCAAGAATACATCGGAGGTCTGTCTAAAGACACTGTCCAATCCACTCCTCCCATTTTCTCACCCCAGCTCCGAGGTGACCCTCCTCATCCCCCTTCACAGCACCACCGACAACATCAACGCTGATGCCAATCTCGTCTCCGAGGAGATCGAAAGTGAACGTGTCGTTCACATCGTTACTGCCCAAGATATCGTCCTCTTCCTCTCCCGTGCCAAAATCAGTGTTCGCATCCATGAGACCCTTGCTCTTCGACTTGCGTATCCGGTCAATTTCAGCCTCGAGGCATTGACGCACCGATCCCGGCGGGAGAGCAGTGAACAGATCTTGCTTATTGGCAGCCACTAGGACGGGGACTTCGCCAGCGACCTTGGCCACGTTTTTGTTCTTTTTCTTCAATGCACGCCGTTGAAGAACGAACAGAACTTCATATAGGTATGAGGCGGTGTCACGGAGAGTTTCGGGGTCCGAAAGAGCGGCGGTGTCGACCATGAACAGGACCCCGCGTGCTTTCATGTTGGAATCGTTCGATGTTGACATGGTCGCCAACTGGGACAGGCCCTGAGACCCGCGCAATTTCCCATGGCCGGGTGTGTCTTTCACTCGGTATTTGACTGGATTCCGGGAGATGTCTTTCAATGACGAATCGTTGACGGACCGATATCGGTTCGAGGCGGTTTGGACGGAGGCGGGGAGGCTCACGGTTGCCAGTGTAGATGATTGGGAGGTATGCGTGGTGCGAGACAGCCTTTTGGCCAGTTGGGACGATTTGGATTCGAGCTGACCGATAGAACAAGAAATTAGCATCTCAGAGCTGGCTTGGAAGGCAATGTCGACTTGACAATGGAAGGGAAGCTTACCAATGATACAAAAGCAGTCTTGCCGGAGCCACTAGGGCCGAGAAGGAGGAAGTTGGAAGACGGGGGTGAGGCAACCCGGCTGTAGAAGATCATATGAAGCAACACAGGCAGTCCGAAGGCAAACAGAGCCGTGAGAGCAATAGCTATGGGATTTCCATCGAGCAACGCCGTTGCTATCCCCGACAACGACTTCCAGTCGCCATGGTACTCCATAATTGCCGTGTACTGTGCTCGGTCAACTAGGACAACAGAGGAAGGACGTGGTTTTCGACAGTGCAAGCGGCAAGGCGCGGGGAAAGAGATCAATTATCCTCTCCGTCTGGTTTGTGAACCCTGAAATCAAGCTCTTTGCGGAATCGTTGCCAGTGACCACTATCCAACCATTTTTGAGTTCAGTGCAGGATCCAAAACCCAAACTACTAGTTTCTGGCTAGGTTGGGTGGGTGGACGTTTGGTCGGTGGGCCAGGAGCTTTGTTGGGCGGAAAGAAGACGGGTGGGAGCATTGGATCATGCCACCTTTAGGATTCCCGGGATCATCCTCGGCCGGCCTTATCCGTTATGTTTCGCAAAACATCGGTGTTTAATTAGGGTTTACGCTGTTCTCCTGAATGTCATGCCGAGGAAATGCTTCACTTTATCGATTTATGCAGTCATTGTCATATATTATATCGACTACTCCAGGTTTCCCAATGTAAAGACCAAGCTTGTCCTAACCCGCAACTCCATATTCAAGACAAAAAGACAGAAAGCCGAGACCAAAGCAGAAAAGCGAAGAAGCTAAAAAGCGCTAGAAATTTGAAAGCATTCCGTATGATCAACACCTAGAACCCCGTGTCATGCATAGAGACAATTATGCCTTGTTGTTATCCTTTGAAGAAGAACCAGAACTCCTTTTAACGACGCGCTCGTCTTTGACGCAGTGTTTGAGGATCCAGGGGTGCCGTTGGATTTCATCGAGTGTGATCCGCTTTTCAGGATCAAGGACAAGTAACTAGGGAATGTAAGTGGCCATACGCATGTGGAGGAAAAGCGATGTAGACATACCCTCTTTATCAAATCTTTCGCCTCCGGACTCACGAACGAAGGCACTGACATGTCCGCTCGGGCAATGCGCCTTTGTGTCATGACGGGGGTGTCTTCAAAGGGAGCTTCCCCGACCAAGAACTCGTAGGTTAACACTCCCAGGCTCCACAGATCAACCTTCTCACTGTAGAAGTTGTCTTGTTGTCCCGGCTTGAGCATCTCTGGGGGCAAATAGTCCAGAGTTCCACACATGGTTTGACGCCGGTTATTGGGTGCATGGACACTCCAACCGAAATCACTGATTTTGATCTCTCCATGTATACCAACCAGAATGTTCTCGGGCTTAATGTCACGATGCATGACATGCTTCTTGTGCAAGTACTTCAGAGCAGCAGCCATCTGGGCGATATACTGAGCAGCCTTCCACTCCGGGAAACGGTGTTCCTTTCGGAGGTGCTTGTACAGCTCGCCACGGCCTGCAAACTCCAAAATCAGGAAGATGCGTTTGCTGTCGTGGAAGTGGCCATAGAGCCTCAGGACGTTTGGATGACGAAGGTTGCTCTGGATCTCAATCTCCCGTCTCACTTGTTTCTGTACCCCACCCTGTTGCAACTCAGACTTGTGCAAAACTTTGAGCGCGCACACAAAGCCGGAGGATCTCTCTTTGGCTAGGTAAACCCGGCCAAACTTCCCTTTTCCAAGCGGTTTCCCAATCTCAAACATCCCAAGGTGTAACTTCTTTGGTTCGGGCTGCTCGTAGAGTGCTGATGTATGGCGCTGGTCGCCATTTTCGTCTACAGCACGATGCGAGAGTCCACGCTGATGCCCCTTGCTGGGAGACGAGCCAGCACTCATTGCATTCACCTTGTTGTCATTTGTGTTTTGGAGGGCGAGCTTTAGAAGGTTGGATCTGCTGTTGCCACTGTTCGACTGCGCCGTGGGCCCATGGCCCGCAAGGGACACAGCGGTCGACAAGGAGCCCTGGAGTGTGACAACAATCAACACACTAAACCTCTTAATTCAGGTGTGGAACCAACAGCAAATACCTTGTGTTTGGAATAACCACTGCTAGGAGCTGCGGATTCATTCTCATCCTTGACAGAAAGATGCTCCAATCGAGCTTCTAGGGTCTTGGTCGACATGGCGACGGAGCTTCGTAACGGCTTCTAGAGTGTTGGAGAAACAACAAGAAAGTAAAAGGTTGTTACAAAAAGAGAGACGCGTTCATATAACCATAATCAGCTCCTTGATGGTTCCTCCAAATAGATGAAAGCAGGGTGTTGGGTGACAGCGCAAGTTGGCGAGGAATAGATTGAAGGAAACCTGTGTGAGATGGTGCTGAGTGCTGAGCGGGTGTTTGTCGCAACCGCCCTGCTAGCATCACCCCAGCAACGCTATCGGGCCACCTTTTCTCCGACCTCCGCGGGGTAGGATTAACACCCTATTGCACCGCCAGAACAGTGATATAACGTCAAGACTAAGGAACCATCCTGCTAGTGTTTCTCTAGGCTTCAAGATACCGCAACAAAGCTACAGATCATCTTCTCAAATTGTGAACATATATTGACGACGCCATGGCGGATCCGGTTACCATGTCCCCAGGAGCCCAACAACCCAGTTCTATCTCGGTCAAGGGTTTCAAGATCACCACGCAAAAGTTGCCAATCTTAAAGGCCGATCCGATTGAAGACATGACCAATAAGCTCGGGATTACGCCACCCGAGATGATATTCGGTGACAATTACGTTGCGATAGAGCATGAAAAAAGTGGCTGGGGTATCAACTTCAATGCTTTCGATGCTTTGAATCGGGTTGACAAGACTGGCGCATCGATGCTGAAGGTTGCATATTCGAGAGAATGGCAGAGTAGCAGGTATGGATGCTTAGTTGTTTGCAGCATGATTGCATATCCAAGCACTGAGCGGCTAACACATGACCAGAGAGAAAACTCATGAAGGAATCAAGGAAATCGTCAAGCCGTTTGATTGGTCCTACAGTACAGACTACACGGGCACTGTCTCTCGTAACGCAAGGGAGTTTGAGCCGACAACGCAAGCCATACCTATCGAGTTACTCAAGCGTCCGGACCCGATATTGTTTTTCGATGAGGTCATCCTTTACGAGGATGAACTTGCGGACAACGGCATCGCTATGCTATCCTGCAAGATACGAGTAATGCCGGACCGGCTACTTTTGCTATTGAGATTTTTCATGCGTTTGGACAATGTACTCTTCCGTCTCCGGGATACAAGAGTGTATGTGGACTTTGATACCCTCGAAGTTATTCGCGAGTATCAGTCCAAGGAGTGTGAATATGAGGTCGTTCGTCGGGTAAGCACATCCTATCTGCGGCTGAATATGGAAGCTAACCGGTTCATGAAAGACCCTAGCGGCTACGAGAGATGATATTCCGGCCGTCATGAGAGATGCCAATAGGCTTTCAGAGATCCTTCAACTCAAGGAGAAACGTTCAGAGCGAGTCATTCTCACCAAATAGCCAGTTCATGTTAGCCATGGAAAATGTCTCCTTGGTCTGTGTGCCTTATCACCGTTTCTGCGAAATAGAAAACGGGTTTCCTTGAGCGCTTGTCCGTCCCCATTCAGAGTGGCAGGCAAGGGAGAAAACATCAGGTGTTTTCAGGGGTAGAAGATCTCCAGCAGGTCTACCGAGTTCCACTGGGAACCTGGCCACCACTCTCAGGCAAGAAGTATCTCTACTCGCTGCATGTGCTCTGCAGACGCCCCGGGAACCCCCCGGAGCACTAGGTACGCTTGTCTTCAGGCTTGACAAACTCCTATACTCGACTACCACCTTTTGATCGAGCATACCGCCTGATCTAATATCCTATCCCTATCCAGCCCATGTCTCACCACTTTTGATGGGAAATCTGGTTTTCAATGGTGTTGGCCTGCAAAGCTTCAAGTCGTTGAAGGGCATGTTGATGAGACACAACCATGGTCTGAGCGCCGTTTCTGGTGGTTCATTCAACAGAATGGCAGAACACCCAATCATGCAACCCTCGCTGAGTCCAATTCAATGCCTGCATTAACGGGAAGTAATCACCGCCGACGAACGTTCGCCGGGCTACTCTGTTACTTGACAAACAAAGAAAGTCGAAGCATAATTACGATCTGAACCCTCGCAGTCATTGACAGGAATATACTAGAATGATGTAACAAGGATTTCCAAACATAGGCATGTCATCTGGGTAATTTGAAAATGTTGTTATATCACCAATGATTCTCTATAGATCTTTGGTTCTTTGAGCATCTGTATAGATCTGTGGCCCAATGGCAAAGGGGTAAGTTTGCTCTGGTACAAGCAATGCGACGCCAAGACAGCACTAGTAGTAGTTGTACCTGACTCGGATGTAATTTACGGTATACTGGCGGTACTCCTCTGCATGATCATTGGACACGGTGGTATTATCCATACCACCTAGTACCTAAGGTAGGTAGGTATCTGATATTATGCATCTCCACACTGCCCACCCACTCATTCCCCATGGAGAGCAGTTGGAGCTCTGGGATGCGACGCGAAGCTAATAACATCTGATCCACCTCCCCCAGTCACGTCAGTGTCTACTGTCACCTTTCAAACCCTTTGTTTTTGTTAGAACTCAGTTGTTCAGCCTAGATATACCATACATTGAATACATTGTGATCTTGTCTTGTTTATTGTCGGAGCTTACTTTCCTCCCAGCCACTGTTAATCTCTCCAAGGTCGGTGGACACGCCTTTTCTCCAACAATGGAGACGCCACAGGTCCAAGTTGGAGCTCGAGAGGTCTCTCAACGCCCGAGCGATGCTACTCCCAATACCAACTCCGCAGACGTGGAAATGACAATAGCGCAAAATCCTACAACCGAGACTCAAGGCGAGACCGCACCAAATATAAACTTGACAGACGCTCCACCCGCGGAACCCGTCGCAAATCCCACTGAAGCGCCGGCCGTCAGTCAAAAGAAGCCTGGATACCATTTTCTTGAGTAAGAGTCCCATCTTCCTGGGATGTTCTGTGTTGCGGCTTGTCATATAGCCTCTCCGGTCGTCTCCTTCACACCTCATCTTGTCATGCCCTGATGGAACACACTCCATATGCACCTCCCTTGCGCTCCGCTGTCAGTCCGATTAAATAGTCCTCACTGACCCGCCCAAGCTTCTTAACCTCTCCAATCGTGCAACTTATCGTTGGGAAAGGCGAAAATGAGACGACTTTAACAGCGCATCAGACTCTCCTGCTGGAATCTCCACTTCTCGCCGACGCTGTCGCGGGATTTACTGAATCAGGCCCTGTGAGTTACACGGTTGATCATTGCTCGGTAACTCCGCTGACTCCATCTTTCCACAGCGGCGCATTGAGCTTCCCAACGAGAACGTGGAGGCATTCGGTTATTTCTTACAATTCCAGTACACCCGCGACTACTCCGCAGATTCCCCTACAGAACAAGACGCAGCTGCAGCAGGCAAAGACCATAACGGCGAGCAATTGCTGAAGCATGCGCGCGTGTACACATTAGCGGAGAAGCTGGGGATCCCGTCTTTGAAGACGCTCGCGCATTCCAAGATCCACCGTATCAGCAGTACTCCTCTGGGTGAAATCACGTATGCGCGATATGTCTACACGAATACGCCTGCTGAGGACGCCACTATTCGGAAGCCTGTAGCTATGTTCTGGGCCCACAGGAGCCATGTTCTGCGCCATGAAGCCGAGGGAGAATTCAAGAAGTTGTGTCTTGAAGTTCCTGAATTTTGCTTCGATGTGCTTAGTTTAGTATTGGACCAAAAAGAAAAACGGGCGCTAGATAGAGCTGAGACGGAAGGCGGAGTTAGAGGAAGTGGGAGGAAACGCCTGAGGAGCGGTATTTAGTTGGAAACCGGTAACAGAGACCGCCAGATCATACGGTATGCTAGGACTCCTTAAGATTGATTCCTAAGCAATTGGCAGATTCTTAATCTAGCCGATTACCGAGGCATGCAAACCACCCATGGTGGGATTGGCATTGCCCGGTGCAATTGGGGCTCCTCTACCACGCGCCATTGTGAGATTTTAGGCCAAAACTCGGTGGTGTGTATATGCGAGAGCCCGTACGCATCACTACTTTGGGCTTACGAGAATGCTCTTTGTGGTATTGACGCTGTTATCCATTCAAAATGCAGTCTGGCGTGTCCCTTCATAACTAATCAAGATCGCTTTAGATGTCTGACAACTCTAGTTGTCATACTATACTCCATGCATTAGCATGCAGCCTGGCAGGCCAGGCTTTCAATTTCCTCAATAGCCTTGGGTGCGGTGGTCAAATTTTCATATCCATCTCGGGTGACATGTAAATTGTCCTCGATGCGCACTCCACCTACGCCCCAATACTTCTCCAAAACACTTGAGTCGATGTATTTGTTCAACTCAGCAGAGTCCAGGTAGGGCTGGATGATAAACCGGCAGAAATAGATCTAGACAGCAACATATCAGTAATCAACAACACCTCAGGTCTGCGCATTTTATAAAAAGTTTTGCGTTGCTTTGTAACTTACGCCTGGCTCGACAGTGACAACTGATCCCGCTGGCAAACGGCCTCTCACTCTCAGGTATTTGAACATAGAGTCCTTGTCCTCATAGTTCGGGTTGCCCCCAGTGTCATGAGTGTCCATTCCCAGGTAATGACCCAGACCGTGCGGGAAGAATGCTACGCTGACTCTCTTCTCAAACAACTCCTCCTTCGAGCCGCGAAGAATCCCTAGTTCCAGCAGGCCATCGATAGCGACCCGATGCGCGTGCGCATGCACATCCTCCCATTGCACACCTTCCTTGAGCATCGCAATGCATTCCGCCTGCATCTGCAAAACAATCTTGTAGATCTGGCGAGTCTCCATCGGAAATCTTCCCTCCAGCGGAAACACGCGGGTGATATCAGCGCAGTAGGTGCGGTATTCACCTCCAGCATCGATAAGAACATTCCCCTTCCTCTTCTTTGTCGCAATGTCGATTGTGTCGGCGTTGTTCTTCGGGTAGTGGAGAGTAGCCCCGTTCTCACCGCAGGCGACGATCGGATGATAGGACTGCTCGCGAGCGCCGTGGGCAATGCATGTCGCGATGATGACGCTCTCGATTTCCCTCTCATTCGTGGCAGACTGGGATTTGCGGAGAGCCGCAATGTGCGCCTGGGCTGTGATGTCGTTTGCTTTTCGGAGAAGGGCGATCTCGTACCCGTCTTTGACTACGCGGGTCGTTTCAATGGCGCCCTTCAGCGCGGTAAGGTTAGTCGCTGCGAAGCCGTTGAACTTGGTTTCATCCGAAACCTGGTCTGCGATTGCAAAGGCCACGGCCTTTCCTCCGTGCGCGGTTGCAATCGAGGACAGGGTGGCATTCACGTCTGGCGTAGCTTGCACGCGATCGACGTCATAGAGCTCAAGGGCCTCGGTTGCAGATAGGGGGAGGCCAGACCAGATCACGTCTTCTGGATCAGTTGCGGGGAGGAAGAGTGTCAGTTCGTCTGTGCTGGCGTTGTATACCAGAGACGAATCAGGTAGCAAGCAACCAGACAAGTAGAAGAAAGGGCGTCGCTGCCTGGTAGCCGGGACTGATTAGTCTCGGATTGAGATAGAAGACTACAGTAATGATGTCGCATGAAGGGGGACGTACCTAAAAGGCATGGGCTCGTCATTGTCCTCGATCATGCGAGTTTTCTGCGCCTCCAGATACACGACGGTAGGACTACCATTCGCGTGAGTCTCGAGTTGCTGGGCAACCCGGCGCGCATGAGCTTTGGCTGGATATTTACCAGCTATAATAGCATCCACGGTAGCCATTTTTAATCAGTTATTCTCAACCTGGGGGGTGGCAACTCCAAAGACACAGAACAATGTGGAACGACTTGGGGAACGTGGCACATCGGTCGAGCAAACCTCGAGATATGGGCGGGGTATCGAGCTGCGGGGCTCGAACCGGTTACCGTCGGTTTAATTGTACTGCCGTGCTATATTAAGTACCAGTATCCTTTGTCTCCGTTATCATTACTCGCGGTTGCAAAAAGAATGAGTATTTCCCAAGGAGGAAGTAAGTTTACCCTAGGTCATTTAGATCACAGGGCCGTCGCCAAGAAAATGCGAAAAGGTCAATGCCGGATATCAATCATAATATTTATTATTATAAGAAATGAGCTCCGCTGGGATAATCGAGAGTAAATCTACCTGGACGGGCTACCCTGGCTGCCAGAGACAACCACCTCTTCGAATTCCATTTGCCATCGGTCCACTTCGGCGAACTTCTTCGCCTGTAATTTCAACTCTTCGCTGGCGAAATTGGGCTCCGTATCTGCATCTGATTCTGACTCTGATTCAAGGTCATCCGAAGGGGGAGGTGAGGACAGCGGGGAGGACGTTTCAACAGGTTGGTTTTCCTTGTTCATTCCAGTGGCGCCGTGGGAATTGGATCTGTAATTACTTGGGTTCGCATTTGCCTGCTCCTTGCGCTGTTTTAAGCGACTCGAGCGAGGGTTTGCCTTCTTTTCACTGCCAACCGCATTCTGTGTCTTTTGCTTCGCCGCGCGGGTTCGACTACTAGATGGATGTTTGGGGTTGGTCTCCCGGTTTCGTCGCGATTTGTATGATGGCTGCGAGAGCGCAAAGCTCAAGTCGTCATCTTCCTGATCACTTGCAACCCCAAACTCGGTCCCATCGTGATGTCTTAGTTGTCTTCTAGGAAGAAATTTGTCTTGGAGAATTGCTGTAGAAAGGGAAGCCTTTTGGTCAACCGCTTGCTTGCGACGGGTTGCTGCACGTCCCGTCATACGATGCGCAGTAGGCGTGGAATCCGAATCTGAAGGACTCGAGAGCGCACTGCTGCTCATGGGTGACCTCATTGTTCGATTGAATTGCTCCGGCGACTCGGATCGCTGTGCCGGACTCGGGGGTTCGCTAAGGTCACTTTCTTCTCCGCTTGATTCAGGAAGATCAACGCCAGACCCTGTCTCTGTTGATGGAGACTTGGCAATATCCCGGTTCTCCGTCGACAGTTTGCGCTTGCGGGAACGTTCGCTTGAAGGTAACGACTGGCGGGATGGGGACGGCGAGGCAGCCGACCTTAGGGCGAGCGATTTCCCTCTAGAAAGGTTCAACGGCGTGGACTCATCCTCCGGGCTCAAGCCGCCCAGAAAATCGTCATCCAAATCAGAAGAGCCATCTTCCGCTTGCATCATCTGGAGAATGCTGGGTTGTCGAGGTCTCCTTCTGAAGTTGCTCAATACCGAACTTTCAAAGGCCGGGGTTCCCGGAACTTTCGAACTCATATCTCCTTTCCGTCCGGCAATGGAAAGCGTAGATGAATAGCCGCGGGCTCTTGTAGGTGGTCGGCTACCTGTGGCCGTTGCAGGTGACGATTCGACCGCCTGCTCATATGTCTTGGTCATCGGTGTCTGATTCCTCAATTGCCGTATGATTTCCGAATCCTGAGTGCCGGTGCCGATTTCCAGTTGGGATGCACCTCTCGTGCCATGCGTATTCTCTGTCGAGGCTTTGGATGTATCCCCTGAACTGACACCATCGCGCCTTGGCTTCGACGATACATTTTGCGTGGAAGCAGGCACGGCCTTGGATGTCGGGCGACTACGCTTTGCGGGCGGACGCGGCATTGTTGTAGATCGAGGTGATATATGCTATATCCGTGCCCTCTGCCGTGTGTTTTCTTGCGGAAAAGGGTGGTGTCGATCTTGGAAGAGTTGGGATTATGGAGTAGACTTCGTTTTCAGCTTCAGAAGCCCATGTCACTTCAGTGCCCAGAACAAGATTATTCGCGGAGGTGCGTGCCGAATGAAATTGTAGCCGTCAAATTTCGTCGATTTCGCAATTGGGTGTCAGCATTTGAGAGTGAGGTGATGATAACGATAAGTACAGGTTCGCGCGCCAATGTTGTTTTGCGACAACACCAGAGCGACGCGTGTGGAGAACGGGCAGCGGCACGTGTCTGTTCTCCACTCTCGCTATCTAATCGTCCAGACCTTAAGCCTTTACATACATATATGTGTATATACTCTGTACGGCATATCCGACTTTGACACGAACTTATGATGACTGCCGGCGTCTGATCTAGGAGCGAAGATACAGCTACTACCCATGCTATCCACTAACGATCGGATAATCATCGGATCAATCTTAAGAGCGGCAATGTTCCTGGCAAAGTCAGGCAATTCCAAAACGTCGGACAGATTGCGGTGGTATTTGTGGGGTGCGTTTGGTGCTGGATCTAACCTTATAGAGGCCTTACCTCCTTTTTCCAGATTAGCCAGACGGGTTTGGTCCATCATCATAGTCTCGAACCAGTGAGCCCGTGCTTTACTGCTGCAGCAATTTTAAATTAGTCTTTTCCCCGCTCCCCAAACCGTCAGACGTCCAGACTGGATGGCCTCTCCGGCTGTAACCTGGATCTAGTGGGCATTCGTTGACTCTGAAATGGTCTCTCTTTGCCTCCCTTGTCACCGTGATTTGATTTCATTCATGTAGTGCAAGCGTCGCTATTATTACCCGAGTCAACCCCACACTCGTTTCGCTGGACCATTCTCCGTGGCGCGACTCTATCGTCCTCTTCACCGGGCTGTCCCCTTTTCCTGAGCTGACAAGACCTCTCTAACGTCACATCTACCAGAGAGGCACTCGTTACCTTCGTTTCATTTTGGCCCATGTCAAGCGGCATGTGATTACCCTATGTCTAGAGACGGTACTCTACACCGTGAGCTCAAGCAGTGTGTTTCGTATATACAGTGATAAACACGCTGTCGCATCCTGCCTATAGCCTCCCCGGACATCAGCGCAATGTCCGCTTCGCCAGACCAAGACCGGGGAGTGTCGCTTGACGTTGCCGTCAGTCAAGCGGCTATGGTCTCCCACGATCTTCAAATCAGCAAGAAGAAACGAAGTAACTCTGAAGCGACTGAATACCCCCGAAGGCGTGCAACCATAGCCGTACGTACCGTACTCTTCCTCTCTTGTTTCCTCGCCTCCATCTGTTCGATGTTGCTCTGTTTGGCTCTTTCTCTGGGGGTGAAGGGGTGCCTTCACTGCTCACTTCCATCTTTCCTGAGCCACAGAACCTCGAATTGTAGATCGCGTTGGCTGCAAAGAGCTAACCGTTGATCATGGAACCAACAGTGCCAGATATGCCGTTTGCGAAAAACAAGGTGCAATGGCGCACGGCCAAGGTGTCAGCTTTGCACAGATCTTGACGCAGACTGCGTTTATCGCGAGCCTGGAATTAAACTGGATGCCGGTGATAAATTAATCATTGATCGGCTGAGCCGAATCGAGGGATTGCTCCAGTCTAATCTGGTAGGACTGACTGGTCATTTCCCGGTGGCCTCAACATCTCCAGCCACCAGTAATGACACCAACATTGGCAGTGATGAGATGACCGCGAGAGCAAATACCCTCGTCCCTGCTACACGTGGACGAACGTCTATAGTTGGAATGGGTTCTTGGGCAAATCCACCGACCAGCATCTCAACAATGCCTAAACTACACACCACGCCCGCACTGCACCTCTTGCAATGGCCCTTGATCCGTGACCTGGTTGCTGGTCCTTACGATCCACATACTCTTCTGCAGCTGGAGATGGTCCGTGAACCCCTCAAAATGAGCACTGCCATGGGTTTCGATTTGTCAAATGCGACCTCGTATGTCCAGGCTTTTTTTGAGCGCGTCAATGTCTGGTATGCATGTGTCAATCCCTACACATGGTCTCAATACTACAAAACCGCCCTTTCACTCGGGTTCCGGGAAGGACCAGAGAGTTGCGTTGTACTCTTGGTGCTTGCCCTTGGCTGCGCTAGTCAACACGGCACCATATCCTCGATCTCCCCGGACAGGGAACACCCAGGACTGCCATATTTCGTTGCTGCCTGGGGCCTCCTCCCATCAGTCATGATGCGCAACTCTGTGGTTGCTGCCCAGTGTATCGTTCTGACATCGGCTTACCTATTTTATCTAGTGAGGCCACTGGAAGCATGGACCCTCCTATCCAATGCAAGCATGAAACTACAGTTGTTGTTTGGCAACACCTCTCGTATCCCACTACAATGGAGGGAGCTGAGCGTGAGGATATACTGGAATGCCCTCCTCTACGAAAGCGACCTGCTCGCGGAACTAGAATTACCCCATTCGGGTATTGTACACTTTGAAGAACTTGTTGATCTTCCCGGGGGATTTGAAGAAGAAGAAGAAGACGATGATGATGTGGACGGCGATGATAGCGACAATTCTATTGACGATGATGTCGACGGTGACATCGATCTCAGAAAAGAACGCGGCGTGGACAAGACCAATGAACCTTCAGTAGGCCGAGACGAGCTCTGGTATTTCTTGGCCGAGATTGCCCTGAGAAGGCTCCTCAACCGAGTCAGTCATATGATCTACCAAAAAGACAACACGTTGACTCTTGCATCACTGGGCCCTATTGTCTCAGAACTCGATTTTCAACTTGCCCAATGGTATGACAACCTGCCTCAATCCGTTCAGTTCCCCCTTTTGCACCCCCCAATATCAAATCCGGTCCAGACGGTTCTGAGACTACGATATTACGCATGTCGAACTATAATCTATCGACCTTACATACTGGCGGTCTTCGAGAACGAACAAGCGGCCTCCGATCCCGTGGTGCGAGAGTGTTGCTGGCGGTGTTTAGAGGCAACGTTGCGTCAACTAGAACATATAACCAGCCATCGCGAGGGACATCTGCCTTACCTTTGGCAGGGCGCGCTTTCTATGGTGTCCCAATCATTGTTGATAATGGGAGCAACAATGTCACCCGCCCTTTGTGGACTACTGCCAGCCGCTGCCCGCGTGGACGAGATTATATCAGGTGTCATAGCAGAGGTGGAGAGGTATTCCCACCTCGCCCCGAGTTTGAAGTTATCTGCGGAAATTATCCGTGATGCGGAGAAACGGCGACAGCTCTGCTTAAGATCAGCTAGAGGACGGGTGTAGGTGCCTCTTCTTAACATATATATATATATATATATATTTTGATCCGTTGGTCTTTTTTCCCTCGATCAAGGCTATTTTACAATTACTTAGAACCATGTTTCCACGTCCGTTTTGTACTCTAGGATTAGAAAACCCAGGACTTGTTTCACTCACAGTCTTCTCGAGAATGCGATTGCATTGAGACCCAACAGCGTGTCATCGAGGAAATTTTGTCAAAGGTAAAGCACTCACTACAATGATGCCCCGGATTATATGTATTAAACAGAACATCCAGGGGCTAGTAGGATTGTTAGTGCCCGCTAAGATAGCGAAGCATTGGACATTGTATTGATATCTAGGGATGTTGGTTATAAAAGTCTCTCTGCAGCCCCGACACTAGGTCTATGGGCCATAGTATCACTGATGGATAGGTACATACTGTGCGACCATGCCGCGCTAGTAAGCACATCCTCAGAGGTGTGTATAATAATAAAGAAATATCACAAACAAGTCATCATCTAATTTGGGGTATTTTGGACATGATCTTCATAATTCAGAACCTGGTCAGGGAACGGGAGCCCCCAAGGAAGTAAGAAAGGCGAAACCAAAACAAAGCAAGGCAAAAAGGAAAATAAACAAACAGATAAATAGATGCAAGATACAATCGGAATAGCGCCTGCACATGTGATGGAAGTGATAAACATGATTGGAGGACAATATTAGAAGACTGATGTGCTTTATATGAGGACCCACTCGCTGCCTCTTTTGATGAACTTATCAAGCATCATACTTATATCGTTCAAGGCAAAACGGCATACAAAAAAGCCGAAAAATTCTGCTGCATGACGAGTGCTTAATTCTAAACCCACCAAAGTTTCGGAGGAGTGTTTGAGACCAGGGTCTTCGACCTGCTGCGCAATTTGATCTGACAAGGCAATTCATATATTAGCTGGTATAAACAACTGATTTATAGAATTGCACTTACCAAGGACTTGAGCCGCATCGCAAAGGCGGGCCAAAGCACCCATGTAGTTCGTGTTGGGTCCGTTGAGTTGAAGCTGGGTCGTATCCCGCCTGACAGGCTGAGAGTTTGGCAATGAAGTCATTGGAAGAGAGCTTATTGTCAAATGGTCCTTATTGGTTTCCTTCGTGCCAGTCAATGGCGGCGCAGAGCCTATCCCCGAGTTTTTGGAACGTAATTTGCGCCAGGAAGTCAGGTATGACTTGCTCGGCACACTGGAGGTCTTCGTGGGCAACGTATCAACGTGCATTGTATCATCTGGAGATTGCGGGTTCCTGAAGAGGGGCATGGCCCCCTGTACACCGACTTCGCTGCCAATTTTCTTTGTCAACGAGGCCTGCACCTGCTCAAGAACATTCTCCAGTGACTGCATTTCATCCAAAACAGCATCAGCATCGTAGGTGTCAACTTTAGCCAATTTCAGTAAGGCTGCAGTTAATAAGTCACAATTCGAAACCTTTTCATCAACGGCCTTTATTTTGACATTTTTGACCCGCCAAACATCCCGTGGGACAAATAGTTTCGTTGACAGGTAGCCACCGCGAGGGTGAGCAATCGTCTGGTAGATGCATCTCATAAGCCAGAACGGCCGCAGAAGAAAAGATTCAGGACATGGCTCCAAAGGAAGAGGGGCGTTGGAGGCCATCGGATTTGGAGTGCCGGGGCTGGTCGGTGAATGGATATGGCTGTCGAATAGATACATGCCACCACTCGATAAACCATTTGGGACAGCAGTGGCACCGGCTGCAGGTAATATGAGCTCCGATGCACCGACTGTACCCTTCTGAAGGTCCAACGTAGGGAATGCCTGGCTGGATGGGGTTTCTGGCGAATACACAGCCGAATCGGGCCCTGCCAAGGAAGGGTTCCTTTCTCGAAAAGATTTCGGCCCCAGACTTGGTATTCCTAGATGGTCAGGCATCGAAGGAACTTTGTCGATTGATCGGCTTGGTGAGGGTATTCTGGAATCGTCCTCCGGTATCGCAGTGCTGCCGGAACCACCACCATTAAAATTTTCACTTAGAGAGCCAATGGAGGCATTTCGCTTGCTCGAATGCGCCGGCCATTGTCCGCTGGAGGAAAGCCCTAGTGCCCTACTCGTAGAGGTTGGATGGGTTGGTTCATCTTTCGGGAGAGGCGGCGGCGGCCTAGAAGCCCAGTGTTCAGGGGACTGGTTGGGTCTAGACGCAACCATATCCTTGGAGCGAGCATTGGTCTCTATCTTCAATTCTGTTGTGGTCTGGCCCGACATTCTTCGAGCCCGAACACTAGGGCTTGATGTCAGTCCTTGCGAGGGGTTTGTCAATGCAGAAGCTTCTGTAGCAGATTTGTCTGAAGTGAGGGTGTTCGGTTCTTGCTTTTCACCCGCCAAGGATGCAACATCATCCTCCGCAAGTGGAGATAAGGCAGCGCCGCCCGTTGTGATGTTGGATGCAACAGAGCTCTCCCAAGTCCTACCAGAGAAGCTGCTTGAATCCGACTGTCGGGGAAGAGCGGACTTCGAGTGAAGATCAAACTCAAAATCATCCATAACATAGCCATTTGTCATTTCTTCCAATAAACGTTCTTCTTCTTCGGCCTCGTCATCATGATAGTCCGAGTTCATGGCACTAGAATGATCATGGGCCATCTGCTCGACGCGTCGCGCCTCCCAACCACGCGACATTGCTACAACTGCTTCCTGCTCGGCTTCCCGTACTTTTTGCTTCGCCAACTCGACATTTCTGCGGGCATTTGCCACAACATCGTCATCATTTCCGTTTCGTAACTCCATCGCCGGTTCCAACCCCTCATCGTAGGCAGCCTCAACAGCTGCATCAAGGGCTGCATCAAACTCAGCTTCTGTGCCCCGGCTAAGCCGACGGCTGCCCCTGTGCCGCAGGTAAACAGAAGAGGCTTTAGAATGCAAGGAAGCCGGTGAAGAAGCCCCAGATTCGTCTATAGTATCTAGCCATGAGGTGGACTCGTAAAGATCCCTTGAGTGAGTACTCAACAGAGACAAATCGGAATATCGAGGGTCATAGATGTTGCGCTTCCCAGTTTCAACTTCCACATGGGAGTCCACTGCATCTGAAGACGTGCGTTGTCCATTCCAAGGCTTGTCCAATGGAATGTTGAATTGGGAGCTGGCATCGCTCTGTTTGGTCACCATCGAAGGGTCAGTGTGTCGCTGATCACCTTCTTCATATGTAGACAGAGGCGGTGTCTGACGTTTCGGAGGAATGTGGCTTTGGGTCAACTCCCTTGGCTCTTCGGGTAATTGCTGACTGGGAACGGCTGCGGATTGGGTAAAAGTCGCATCATCACTAAGAGATTTGGGGTGATAGTCGTCCAGGGAGGGTTGCAATGCATCGCCATAGTACTCTTGGCTAATCGGGCGTTGTGGGAGGGCTTTACTCTCAGCCCCCCCAGAGAAATCCATGCGTTCCAGTTCAGTCACCCGTATCATGTAAGTGTCCCGCTAAAACCATTAGATTTGGTACAAGAACGCTCTGTCGTCCAAAAGATAAAACTTACAATCTCTTGAAGTTTTAGTTTCTCATCTTCACCACCGTTGCTCCGGAGCATCACAAGTTGTAAGAGTCGGCAGGCGTCGTTATAAGCCTCCATGGCGCCTTCAAAGTTTGCTGCATTGTCGAGAAGAACAGCAGTATTGGCCTTTTGCAAGGCTTTCGAAAGCATTGCTTTCTGGGAATGGCCCTTCCGGCGTTTGTCGTTCTTTTTCCCATCGGCAAGAGATGTATTCAAATCGTCAAATATTGATGTTTCACCCTCTGACACGATGGTATCTTGCGATTCAGCCAAGAGAGGTCCAAGGTCATCGGCAGCTTTAAATCCGGGATTTCGCGTGTGCGACCACGGGTCTTTGAAAAGGTCAGAAGACTTCAGTTCGTGGTTGGTAGGAGTAAGATCGGGTTGCTGCCAGGCGGCATTTGTAGCATCGGGGACTGTGGGAGCGTCAACTTCTAGGGAACCCAGAAGTGAGGCACCTGCTTGGTCGTGCGTCATTTGGTGCTGAAAACCATGCTGTCCCTGGAACACCGGGCCATTGTTTGGCGGCGATATTATGGCCGCATCAAAGGTTGAAGTACTGGAAATGTTTCGTTGATGACCGGCGAAAATGATGGAACTTTTACTGGAGGTAGTAGATTGGGACCACCGGTTCAAGGTACCGAGGCCTCCCTGGATGTTGTTATTGCCTGGGCTGCTCGGGTTGGAGGGTGTGATTCGGCCCAAAGTCGGTGTTACCGCACCATAGCTCGAATCATCATCCGCTGCATTGGGAACATCGCTCTTGAATTTGTTCCATGATGGTGAATATGTGTGAGAAGCAGTTCCCCCAGCAGTAATCGTGGCATTGGGTGAAGTCGACCCCGGCCGAAGCATTTCGTCATATGATCCAGGGCCTTTCAACTTCGGATTTCCAACCATTTTGTTGATTTATTCCCGTCCAAGTCAGGATTAGACCCGGGCGACTGATATGGAGGTCGGTGTATCAAAGGCAATCGTAGTAAAATCTGGCGCGAAGCTCATCTATAAAGCGTTCTCAATTGGCGGCTTCGAACTTTCCCTATGCATATATGATGATAATATACCAATCCAATCATGAGATGAAGGCCTTCTCCGAAAGCATAGATTGGTGTCAAAGAATGGCAGACGAGACTATAATTTCGCACGTGTGAAATCCAGGGATATATAATAGCTTGGTCAGGCCGTAGCTGTAGGGGACACTGTAGATGTAACAGGGCTGTCGCACATCCTTTCTAGTCGCTGAGGTATGAGAACCAAATATCACCGCCTACAGCAATATAATCTGCGTAGAAGATGAGGAAGTGGAACGCTAGCTCCCCAATCAGTGACTGTCTGCTTCAGCGCATGATCTGGAAACTGGGGCAGTCTAAGAGGAACACATGCTTTGTTTCTCCTGTGTTCTTTCTTTCCCCTCTAGGCGCGAATTAGATGGTATCAAGATCCTTTCTTAATCACCACGCATGGTATATTGTGACTGTTCTGTGTTTGCGACAAGCAAGTGAAGGTTAAGGTAGGATGATATTCCAGATACTGGTCTGGTGACTAATGTTTTCTGCCGCCTGCAAATGCTGCATACGAAGTGCA